GGTCTAGGCGACTGAAAACAGACGAAGCTTTGGAAGAATATCGGGAAAGTAGGACCAATCTGAAATGAGGAATTAAGAGGGCTAAAAGGGGTCATGAAATATCTTTAGCAAACAGGGTTAAGGAAAATCCCAAAGTCTTTTATTCATACATAAGGAGCAAGAGGGTAACTAGAGAAAGGGTTGGCCCACTCAAGGACAAAGGAGGGAAGTTATGCAAGGAGTCAAAGAAAATGAGTGAGATTCTTAATGAGTACTTTGTGTTGGTATTCACTGAGGAGAGGGACATGACGGATGTTGAGGTTAGGGATGGATGTTTGATTACTCTAGGTCAAGTCAGCATGAGGGGGGGGGAAGTGTTGGGTATTCTAAAAGGCATTAGGGTGGACAAGTCCCCAAGTCCGGATGGGATCTATCCCAGGTTACGGAGGGAAGCGAGAGAGGAAGTAGCTGGGGCCTTAACAGATATCTTTGCAGCATCCTTGAGCACGGGTGAGGTCCCGGAGGACTGGAGAATTGCTAATGTTGTCTCCTTGTTTAAGAAGGGTAGCAAGGATAATCCCAGTAATTATAGACCGGTGAGCCTGACGTCAGTGATGGGGAAGCTGCTGGAGAAGATACTGAGGGATAGGATCAATTTACATTTGGAAGAAAATGGGCTTATTAGTGACAGGTAGCATGGTTTTGTGCAGGGAAGGTCATGTCTTACCAACTTGATAGAATTATTTGAGGAAGTGACAAAGCTGATTGATAAGGGAAGGACTGTAGATGTCATATACATGGACTTCAGTAAGGCATTTGATAAGGTTCCCCATGGTAGGCTGATGGAGAAAGTGAAGTTGCATGGGGTCCAGGGTGTACTAGCTAGATGGATAGAGAACTGGCTGGGCAACAGGAGACAGAGAGCTGTAGTGGAAAGGAGTTTCTCAAAATGGAGAACTGTGACCAGTGGTGTTCCACAGGGATCTGTGTTGGGACCACTGTTGTTTGTGATATACATAAATGATCTGGAGGAAGGTATAGATGGTCTGATTAGCAAGTTTGCAGATGACACTAAGATTGGTGGAGTAGCGGATAGTGAAGGGGACTGTCGGAGAATGCAGCAGAATATAGATAGATTGGAGAGTTGGGAGGAGAAATGGCAGATGGAGTTCAATCCAGGCAAATGCGAGGTGATGCATTTTGGAAGATCCAATTCAAGACCGAACTATGTGGTAAATGGAAAAGCCCTGGGGAAAATTGATGCACAGAGAGATCTGGGTGTTCAGGTCCATTGTACCCTGAAGGTGGCAACGCAGGTCGATAGAGTGGTCAAGAAGGCATATGGCATGCTTTCATTCATCGGACGGGGTATTGAGTATAAGAGTTGGCAGGTCACGTTACAGTTGTATAGGACTTTGGTTCGACCACATTTGGAATACTGCGTACAGTTCTGGTCGCCACATTACCAAAAGGATGTGGATGCTTTGGAGAGGGTGCAGAGGAGGTTCACCAGGATGTTGCCTTGTATGCAGGGGCTAGCTATGAAGAGAGGTTGAGTAGATTATGATTATTTACATTAGAAAGACGGAGGTTGAGGGGGGACCGGATTGAGGTCGACAAAATCATGAGAGGTATAGACAGAGTGGATAGCAAGAAGCTTTTTCCCAGAGTGGGGGACTCAATTACTAGGGGTCACGATTTCAAGGTGAGAGGGGAAAACTTTAAGGGAGATATGCGTGGAAAGTTATATACGCAGAGGGTGGTGGGTGCCTGGAACGCGTTGCCAGCGGAGGTGGTAGAGGCGGGCACGATAGCATCATTTAAGATGTATCTAGACGGATACATGAATGGGCAGGGAGCAGAGGGATACAGATCCTTGGAAAATAGGCGACAGGTTTAGATAGAGGATCTGGACTGGCGCGGGCTTAGAGGGCCAAAGAGCCTGTTCCTGTGCTGTAATTTTCTTTGTTCTTTGTTCTTTGTTCTTTGTTCTTTGTTCTTTGTTTAGCGAGATATGGGCCAAACACAGGCAATTGGGACTAGTCCAGTTTAGGAAACGTGGTCAGCATGGACGAATTGGGCCAAAGGGCCTTTTTCTGTGCTGTATGATCTTGAAAGTGTCCTGAGAAGGGCTACACCTCACCCAGTTGTTCTCTCGGATATCGACTGTGTTTCCTTAACAAGATGGGACGCGCGGAGCAGTGAGCATTGTGACCTCTAGGCAGAGTTTAATATGAGCTTCTCTCTGTAAAACACACGTGTACACACATGGTATAGACCTGTGCCTGCAGTCTCAGACATGCGCAGTGGAGACACATGTAAATGCGGGCCGGGAGCCCAACATTTTGGGAGTGTTGTGTTTTGAAAAAGCTGTGTGTGTGATGCCTCAGCCACCTGAATGTTTGTGTTCCAGCTCCGAGATGTCAGTGCTGGATTGCCGCAAGCTGGAGTGGGTAAACCTCTGCTGAACAAGAGCCTGGAGCCAGAACAATGGGTATGGTACCACCTTCAAGTGTATCTGTGACCTCGCAAAGACCGGGCACAACAACGGTCAGCTCTGTTTCAAATATCTCCCCCTACCTGTCCGTCCCAGTTCAATAAAATCATAGAAACCCTACAGTGTGGAAACAGGCCATTCGGCCCAACAAGTCCACACCGCCCCTCTGAAGACCTATTCCCTCACCCCTGCATTTCCCCTGTCTAACTCACCCATCCCTAGGCACTATGGGGCAATTTAGCGCGGCCAATCCACCCTAACCTGCACATCTTTAGACTGAGAGGAAACCGGAGCGCCCAGAGGAAACCCACGCAGACACGGGAAGAATGTGCAAACTCCACACAGACAGTTGCCCGAGGGTGGAATCGAACCAGGGTCCCTGGCGCTGTGAGGCATCAGTGCTAACCACTGAGCCACCGTGCCACCGATGGAAGTTCTTCCATTTCCAGTCAGCAGCACCTCCTCGAGGGGTGGGGACTAAACGCCAGTCTTGCTAACCATGCCCCCACCAGCTGAGAGATTGAATCCGCTCCACTCCCAGTGCACGTCCAGTGGTTCTTAGCTGGGTCTGAGTTGAGGGCATCTGGTGCTGTTCATCTGAGGGTTACAGTTCTTCCTGACCTGAGGTGAGTAGCAAGACACGAATACCTACCCCTCCGAGGTGCCAGCAAGTGCCCACCTTGGCCTGTTGCCCTGACTGCTATGGTGGCTTTGCCCGGTTAGAGTGGGGAGGGGGGTTGGGTGGTGGGGAGGTGGGGAGGGGACATGGAAAGCAACCATGTCCCGAGTGTCCATCATGTATTGTCCCACAGTAGCGAGAGGCGACTAATGGTGGCCACACCCCACATGGGAATGAAGCGGGTGTAAGAAGGGCCCTCACTAACCCTCAGTGTTCCCTGCTTTAGGAGAACCTGAAGGAGATCCATCGAGTGATGTGTGCGGAGTATGATTGCCGTCGGCAGATGCTGATCACGCGCCTGGATGTGACCGTGCAGTCGTTTCACTGGGCCGAAGGAGCAAAGGTTTGGAATCTCCTGAGACACGCTCTCGTAGAGAATACTCACCCTATAACCTCAGAAGGACTTGAGTTAGGAGCTACAGGAGGCCATTCAGCCCTTCAAGCCTGCTGTGCCCATTCGATTCAGTTGGTCTAAGTGTATCCTCAAATCCACATTCACAACCTACCTGCTGATCGCATAGAAACCAGGGATAGGGGTGTAGGCCATTCAGTCCATCAAACTCACTCCATCGTTGAGTATGATAGATCACACAGGATAGATCACACAGCATAGGCCTATTGGCCCATCTTGTCCACGCTAACCAAGTTTCCAAAACGAATCTAGTCCCATTTACTTGTGGTTGGCCCATATTCCTCTAACCCCTTCCTATTCGTGTATCCATCCAGATGCCTTTTAAATGTTGTAGTTGTACCAACCTCCACCACTTCCTCTGGCAGCTCATTCCGTACACACACCACCTTCTGCGTGAAAAGTTGTCCTTTAGGTCCCTTTTAAATCTTTCCCCTCTCATCTTAAACCTGTGCCCTCTAGTTTTGGACATCCCCCTACCCTGGGGATAAGGTCTTATCTATTTACCCTATCCATGCCCCTCATGATTTTATAAATCTCTCAGAAAACAATGCTCCAGTGAGAAAAGTCCCAGTCTATCCGGCCTCTCCTTACAACGCAAACCGTCCAGTCCCGGTAACATCCTGGTAAAATCTTTCTGCACCCTTGGCTGATCCTCTATCTTAATTCCACGTTCTTCCTTTCTCTCCAAAGCCCTTGATACGGTTTAAAATCTAAAAGCTTCTCTTTTTCTTGGATAGATTCAGTGACTTGGCCTGTACAGCCTCCTGTGGTAGGAATTTCCACAGGCTCACGCTCTACTCAACAAGAAATGGGGAGGCAAAGGGCAATGTCACTGGGCTGTTAATCAAGAGAACCAAGTAATGTCCTGGGGACCTGGGTTTGAATCTCGCCATGGCAGATGGTAGAGTTTGAACTCAACAAAATAAAAACTGGAATTAAGAGTTTAATGACGTCCATTGTCAATGGTTGGAAAAACCCATCTGGTTCACTAATGTCCTTTAGGGAAGGAAGCTGCCATCCTTACCTGGTCTGGGCTACATGTGCCTCCAGACCAACAGCAATGTGGTTGACTCTTAACTGCCCTCTGGGCAATTAGGGATGGGCAATAAATGCTGGTCCTAGTCAGACAGTGCTGGCTCTTGTTTATGGATAAAGAAAAAAAAATCCATTGACTGCTGCCGTAAGAATATTCCACTTAACAGGCAGAGAGCGCCAAAGATTTTCCGAAACGGGAAAACAAAAATTCACCTCATCCCTGTTTTAAATGAGCAAGCCCCCAGTTTTTTAAGTGATGACCCTGATTCTAGACCGCCTCTAGCAAAAACCCTCTCCACATCCACATGGTTGAGGCCCCTGAGGGTTTTGAGAATATTTACCCTCCTTTAGCCAGTGGTTCTTGTTAAGATTGTATGACAATTATGTAGAATCCCTACAGTGTGGGAGCAGGCCATTTGGCCCATCGAATCCACACCAACCCTCCCAAACAGCATCCGACCCTACCCCTGTAACCCTGCATTTCACCACGGGGTCAACCCACCCTAACCTGCGCGTCTTTGGAGTGTGGGAGGAAACCCACATAGACACAGGGAGAATATGTAAACTCCACACAGACAGTCAGCCGAGGATGGAGTCGAACCTGGGTCCCTGGTGCTGTGAGACAGCAGTGCTAACCACTGAGTCACCATGCTGCCCCACGTAGGGGTAGAATCAGAATTTGAAGGCTGTTGCTTGGGTGGCCAGGCTTTGATTTATGAGGGAGAAGTTGGATAAACTAGGCTCCTATTCCGTCATGTTCTGACACACCAACTTGGTAGGTTTTGAACCCAGACTTTGGTGGACCAGACTTGATGGACTGAATGGCCTGTGTCTTTTAGTCTAATCAATGTCCTATTCCAGGCTTAGGGGCACTACCACTAAACGGTAGGATTAGTAATTTCTTGAGGATTGTAGATTATGAGTTGGTCGCG